TTTTTTGGCCAATTTTGTACTCATCCCTACGAGAAAATACGTTAAGGGGTCTCGGTTGATTGAAAAACAATTGAAAAATAGAAGCTTACTGGCAACGGGGTTTTCCGGTGCGGCAACTCCGCCGGCTCACCTTTGCGGTTGGGCTTTTTCTTTGGTCAACCTGTGGGAAACAAAATGATGAATACAATGGTAGAAAAACTGTACGAAACGAGAATCGAAAATGATCTCATCGGAGGTAATTTTTGATTTTTCCTATGGCGGTGGAGTTGGACTTTATCTGCAGTTTTTGGCTCATCCGCTTGTTTTTTTGCTCCGATATGGCCGTGGAGGTGTTCAAAATCAAATTTTGAGTGATTAGGATAATTTTTACCTTTTTTGACGGTTGGAGGTGGTTTCGGCGTGGCGAGAGGCAACGGTCGGCTCCCTTCCCGACGACTGGTTCTTCTTCTTCGGCATTTTGGGGGGGGGGGGGGGGGGGGCTCTGGCAGTTAAGGTTAGGGTTTGGTGTGACGTGAGGTATTTATATCCGTCTTTTTTTAATCTGAACTGTCTATCACATTTGATTTGGACCGTCCGATCGTGTTTAAATAGGAAATGAATCCGAACCGTTAATTGCGATTTAATCTGAACCGTATGATCGCGTTTAATGAAAAAATCAATATGCGATGTTCATCGCGTTTAATCGCGACAGTCTGATCGCACCTGAGGAGGGAACGATCCGAACCCTCTATACGCGCGGGAATAAATCCCGACCATCCAATTGCGGGCACGTAGATTGCCAGCATGGCCTCCCGCGTGGCATCGCGTCAGCGTGCCTTGCCACGCAGCGCGCTCCGGTTCATCAAGGCAACTGACTGGGCAATCCTACATGACACATTTTTCTTAAATTATGTTTTGACTCCCAGTTTTCGATTTTTCTTTCAAAAACACTCTCAAAACTCAAATTTTCACAATTTTTTCTAAAAATTATTTTCACTTTCATTATTTACATATTTTTCTTATTTTTTATATTAAATAAAAATTTATAAATTTAAAAATTATATTTTATACATTAATTTTAAATATTTTAAAATTAATTCCGGGTATTACATCTAATGTTTTAAGCCTATTTGAGATTCAGAAGAAGTTTAAGTACTTCAGCAACATTAAAGTTTCTTATCTCCTGTTGGCACTTACTCACCCAATTTTAGTACACAATACATTTATTGTCTTGATATGATTTGGTTGGTGCAAACACTATTTATACCTTTTTGAAAAAAGAAATCTTAAGGCTTATTAATTTCCTTGAATATGCATTTTTTAACATATATATGTACATGCGTTCCATTAGTTACTTTATTTACTTAATAGTTACAGTCTCGAAATCAAATTTCATTATGAACTTATTAATTCAATTTTAAACAAACCATAACAACTTCATTTACATGTTGCTTTTTGCCTCATATGTTATTGAAAAAGACCTCTATACGAGGTCTACTCTTATTTTTTTTTAGTAACTCCACCATAGTTACTTATATAAACATAGATTAATCAAAGTTAGAATTATTATCTAATGTGTAACACCCAATTTTTTTTTTTAATTTTTTAATTTATTTTAATTTATATTAAATTTTAGTTTAATTTTTCAATATTTAATTTATAAGGTTTTAATTTAATTTAATAAAAATCAAAATAATAATAATGATAAAATAGGGTAAAATTATTTTTGGGATTTAATTGAAATTGATTTTGGAAAAAAGTGGTGAAAATTTAGATTCTAGGGGTGTTTTTAAAAAGAAAATAAGAAACTAAGGGTCAAAACGCAATTTATGAAAGTTGTGCCACGTCAGCAGCCCAGTCAGTAGCCCCGGCCAACCAGAATATGCCGCGTGGCAAGGAAGCTGACGCGGGAGGCCACACGAGACGGAGCCACGTGGGCGATCTGCATGCATGTGATCGAACGGTCCAGATCTCACGCATGCAGACAGCCCAGATTGAATCACACACGGACGGCCCAGATCGCATCGCGATGGACGGTCCAGATTTATTCCCATTTTAATCGCGATTGGACGACCCAGATTAAATCGTGATGGACGGCTGAGATTAAAAGGGGAAGGTTATAAATAACCTCACCCACACCCGACCCCAAACTCTAGCCGCCAGTACCCTCGCTAGAGAAGAAGAACCAGTCACTGGAGGAGCTGGCCGCTGCTACCCCCTGCCGCACCGGAGGGTTTTTCGACCGCCAAACGAGGTAAATTTTCTCCCCTTGGCTCGTTTTTCGATGTTGAATCTGTCTATGGCCAAATCGGATCCAAACCACTGGTCAATCGACCGAAAAACACCGCTGAAGTCCAACGGCGCCGCCGTGACTTCCCTCAGTTTTTGCCTCCGATGAGGAATTTTTCGGTTCCCGTTCGATGCAATTTTTACACCACTGTGATCATCGTCCTTTTCTCTACAGGTTGACCAGAGCAAAATATCAAATCGCGACTCGCGCCGGAGAAGCCGCCGCACCCGAGAGCTCCGCCGCCGGTAAGTCTTGATTTTTCGTAATTTTTTGGCCCACCGAGGGCCCTAGGGTTGTTTTATCGTAGGAACCAATGCAAGTTTGGCCGAATTCGACCGAAAATGACCAACCCGAGGCGGATTGCCGCCGCGGGCGGCGGTGCCATCACCGGAGCACGGCGGAGCCGTAGTGCCAGAATTCCGATATTGGCCAAAAAGGGGCCCTGGGTCTGATTTAGGATTTTTTGGGACACGTGCAGGTACCGGTAGTGCGTTTCAGTTTTCTGAAAAAAATTCAAGGAACTTAGGGACAGCCCGTAGACGCATTATAGGGCCGATTTTAAACTCCGAAACAAGTAAAGATTTCTCACCCTATTTCCTATCACGATATTAAAGCTCAATAAATAATAAAACGGTATTTCGTGAATTAATAGATATGTATAATTAATTAAGGTTGCTAATAGAGCCCGAGTCTGATATATTTTCGGTCAGTTGCTGTTTTAGTTATTTTACAGTTTTAAATGCATTATGGTATCTGATTTATTTATTTTATGATTTTAAATGCATGAATTACTGTTTACTTCATTATAGCTTGATTTTGTGAATCCGATGATATGCCTGCCTTGTTGGATGTTCGTTACTAGTTTAAATATTCATGATTATGTGAGAAACAGAAAACTAAGAAAAAAATAGAAAAGGTATGTAAATTGATAAATGGATAACGTGGACAACCTGACTAGATATCCTGGGAGATGGTGGACGGACCGGATCCATAGGGAACCCTACTGGGAATGTGGTCTCTCATATCGGACGGGTATGGAGACCTTATGTATTTTAGCGCCCATACCGGACGGGGTATGGGGACGACCCGTTTCACCCTCATACCGGACGAGTATTGAGGTTTGTGGTTTTGGCGCCCATACCGGACGGGGTATGGGACGCCTTGCATCAGTATATGTATGGTTCACGTGTAGCGGGACCCTCTATGGATC